AACAGTAGCTAGGTGGTATCTAATTGGACAATTTCACTATCGAGCATTGTATATACGTTAGGATATAAATAAACGTAGACAATACAATTTTACTAAATGGAATTACGGACTGAAAGTTCGCTGTTGATTCGTGAATTTTCAATATTGGATTTTACTACATTACAACTTCAGGTTAACAGACTCTAATGTAAGAACGTCAGTATTAACTGATAATGTCTGGATAAACAATACTGATACTGCATTTCACTTGACAAAAATAAATATAAGAATGTTTTTGTGACGAAGCTATACTATTCATGACAACAACTTATAAGTAATACTATTTAAAATAATTTAAAGTCTATTCAAACTCATGTCATCACAGACTATTCCCTCATCCATAATAATACGGCCATTACTAATATATAAACACGTAATAAACATTAATTTCTTACCAGTTACAAGTTGGCGTGTTCTATTGCTCACACAAACCACTACAATCTTCACCTGATAACAACTGACAAGAAAGTACAAGGGCCAACCAAAGTCGTAGTATTTGAGAACAAAGTATTGTGGAGAATATTTGGACCTAAGAAAGAAGACGTAACAGAATCAGCAGAAAACTAGTTATTTTTTTTGTATTACGCACGTAAATACTAATCATCAAGATCATCAACTATCAGTCATGGAGTTAGACCACGTAATGCCCGGCTGTAGTCTAATATTACAGGAAACTCTCGGTTTACGAACGAGTTCCGTTCCAAGACGCTGTTCGTTATGTGTATCTTGCATTTCTGAGCTTTTACGATACGTATCGTATACGTTAGCAGCCATTTTAAAGCATTAAAACCATGTACTAAAACATCGAATGGGAGACCGCTGGGGAGACCTAGACGTAGATGGGAGGATGTCAGGCGGGATCTATGGGGACTGGATTTTGTTGGCCCAGGACAGGGTCCGGTGGAGGGCTTTGGGTAATTCGGTGATGAACCATCGGGTTCCCTTAGCCATCTATAGTTAGTTAGTTTATGTGTAAAATAATACTGATGACTACGTTTTGCTCATGAAAAAATGTTACAGTATTAAATATGCTTTATAGACAACAACAGCACAGTGTCCAATTGCTTTTGGTAAGTTCCAGACGCAAATTTTGAAACATACTTGAACAAAACGAAGTTTGGGTTTAAATTAATATTTGTGCGAATAAAATTTATGCAATAAAATACGATTGTGCCAAGAGTTGAACTCGCATATCTGACCTCGTCACACGTCTCAGAAAAGTCATCAATCAACATGCAGACAGAGTCGTGAATTTGCTTAACAGGTACCTGGCACCATAATTAACGGAAGACAGGGTAAAGTCACACACATATACAAGCACCAGGAAATTACATCACTTCCGGTTTCGGATTTGTGCGCCTGATTTTTGGCGCAGTGCACTTATTATTCTCAGTTTGTCTTAATGCCGGTAGATGGGCATAATGTCTGCAGTGTTTGAACAGCTGTTATGAAGGTCGTTGCAACACTGCGATGAATCGAGAGTGGTTGCAATCCCTTGTCAATTGTTCTCATTCAAGTAATCGATTCTTCCAAAAAGTAATCTGTATTAAATACTATTAAGTGGAAGTATCAAGAGAATGACCAGACTACAATAAATCTTACGGGTTTGTAAAACTAATATGTTACAACATTAAACCAAGTGAACCGAACTACGGGGAAAAACGTGAGACAAAACTTTCGCGACATAACCTTCAAAGATACTTCGTTGGCTTTTCCTCTAATATTCCCAATTACTCACAGTTCTCAAAACTCTTGCTTTGTTACCTCTGCGTCGCTACATAACCTGACAACCAGCGAACAAACTTATTTCGACAATTTGTAATTGATTCAGCTGACTCAGGATAACGCCAACTTGCGGGGGATGTTTACACGATAAAAAAATTCAAGAATCATCATGTAACAACAGATGGTTGATTGGTTGATCATTTTGAAAGTTTATTGTCATGACAATTTCAGTGGGGCTAGTATCGCTGTCACCTCATAAACTCCCGAAGCAACCATGTCCTTACTATTGACTGCAAGACATTAAAATATACAAGATTTATAATAATAATAATAATAATAAACTCTAAGTTATTTGTGTTCAGAAATTACTAAAAAGTGATTTTAAAAATGTCATGTCAGACCTCTGGTTTCAGATCAGAAATGAATACCATGTTAATAATAATGATAATAGCAGGCTTACCAATAACAGCCACACAAACAGTATTAATACAATATCCATAAAGACAATAACACAATATGTATATAGCATTTAATATTCCGTTCACCGTACAGAGAATACATTGCGCCTTGTCCATTTGCGATAAACATTATTATATTTATTTTCCCTTATTATGGTCCTCCTCCTCTACAATTAACCCATAAAAGAACATGAGCATATGGAAATACGTCCAAATATTACACCCGACTACCCTAATCCAGGATCATATAACCCCCAGCCCATAATGACGAGGGCGTTTTAATTGCCAGCTGAAATGATCGAGCTCTGCTGCAAAGCGTAGAATTATACATAAAAATTTATCTATTAGCGTAGAATACCTAACTGTTCTTAACCCATTTTCGTCAAAATCGAATAAGATCATTTTCAAAATGTCAGATTTAACTGTAGCCTTAAAATGCGTAAAGTTCAGCGAGACAAACCTTGTTTTATTCAAACTTTAAATCCTTTATAATTCCTCCCACCTCCCCAGAATCCTGCAAGTCGACTCATTTCCAAACTATCAGACACTCCGGCTGCCATATTTGAATACTGGCAACACAAAACATCCCTGTGAACAGAATATTTCCCTTAGATAATAATGCTAAATGTATCAGATGTGTAGGTAGGCGTGATTTTGTGACAAGACTTCTGTAAGATACAATTCCAGAAATTGCTTGGAATAATCGAATAAAGTGACATATATCGTACACAGAACACGTAATACGTCATTCAGACATTTTGATATTAATTTATTTACTTTGATAAGGTCAATGAAAGAGCTGTAATCAAACATTCTCCATTATTCATTAAGAATATTATAACTTACATGAGCTCGGTATTAGTTTTCTGTTCCCTAGGGAACTGTTAGGAGTCGGTTTCCCAGACGACGAAGAACCAAGCTGTGTTTAAGGGAACGCTGTACAATCACTAACTGTAGTTTGCTTCGAAACCAAAAGTTTTCGGTTTAAACAGGTTACTTCAGTAAATGATACGACGTATCATTTACTGAATTTAATGGTTTAATGATGAGTCGGGATAGCTCAGTTAGTATAGTGACTAGCTACGGGCTGGACGACCGGGGTTCGATCCCCGACGGGGGCAGAGGATTTTTCCTCTAGCCTCTGCGTCCAGACAGGCTCTGGGGCCCACCCAGCCTCCTCTACAATGGGTACCCGGGGGGAAAGCCGGCCGGGGCGTGATGCTGACCACCCACCCCCATCTAGTGCCGAGGTCAAGGAAGAGAGGAGCTATACCTCCACTCCCCCCAAACGCCTACATGGCGTGTAGTGGGACAAACTTTACTTTACTTAATGGTTTAATGTGTTGGCGACAGGTATATTAACCAAATACAGGTGTCTTATCGTACTCTATGTATCTGTTAAGGACTTAAGCATTCAGAGAAATCTCAAGTCAAACTAAGTATTTTCTTCAGTCGACGGAACTGATAACCAATCAAGGGGGTTGTAACATCTCCCTAGTGAGAGAGATAATGTTCTAAGAGACGAGAAAAGTCACTCTGTTTAGACGTTGAGACCATGTGGCGCTGAACACTTAATGATTTCGAAGAATCTTTTGAAAAGGCAGTTGCCTCAAGCTGGCGGAACCATCTATACCAGACGACAAACATCAATTCGTTAATAAACGTTAGTGAACTACGCCATTTCAAACAGCAATTTACCATCAATCAAAAAATTATTTTATTTTTCCATCATTCTTCTGAGATTCCGAGTATAATAAAATATATGGTTTATGGAATAATTTACCACCAATAAAGGTTAAAAGCGTAAATTTATCTATCTGTTCACGAATGTCTTATTAAGATATCTCTTCACTTCAGGACTTTTATTACACTAACTTACGGAAGTGCTGTTGTAAAGTGATGTAAACAAGTGAAGAGTGTATTTCAAATGTTTAATTTTTATTTTTACTTCGAAAAACTTACTCGTGTGGCAAACCTTCGATTCCTGTCAACGACAAAAAATCTATTTGTCAATAGCAGTGTTCCCGCAAGGTAAGATTCATAACTATAATTTGATTTCTACTGATAAAAAGGCAGACTAATCACGTAACTGATGAAAAATGACAGAACTTATCTTCGACACTTCACTATGTTGTCACTGTAAAACGTAGAGACAGAATATCTGTAAATAAATTAAGCATAAAAAAGTTTTGATATGCAGGTACACTATTGGGTCAAAATCTTAACAAAGTTCCCATGTTTAGAAAACTTTGATGATAATGTGGACATCGGAAGATTTGGGAAAATATAAAAAAAAATTCATTACTAGTTAAAATAGCATAAATGGTTTGAAAAAGAACGTTCAAAACTATTAATGAAAATGTAGCACGCTAAATAGCAGTGGTTGCAGATTTCAAGCCAAACAAATGGGCATAACACGAAAAATGTAAGATTATTCATCGCCCTGATAACGGAGGCAGTATGACCTCTGAAACGTTGGTTAACATCGACCAGACTACACAGCGCAACAACCCAGAAGACAGAAATCTTCATGTAAGATTTAATCTGAAATCTTTCAGTAATTTTGGAACTTTTACATACGGAAGAACAAGCAAACACGTTCCCATTATGCGTTCATTTATGAATTTCGTTTAAAGAAAACATAAAAAGTCTATGTCTATACAAACTTAACCTCACTCAAATATTCTGATTAGTACGTAAACATTGAAATAAGTAAATTATCCCTATTCAGCGTCCTCAAATATGAACACACGAAAGAAAATAATCGAAATGGCTTACCTCTGGACAGTAACAATCCATTACACTGGTGTCAGTGGAAAATTCACAAATTACAAGGAGTGTAGGATCGTTCACTCTTTAAAAACATTTTTAGCATTCCATTTAATTCCAAGCACAATGTGAAACTCAATTTCTGTAGTCCATTGGTCGTCCTGCTTAAAGTAACACTTAAGTATGAAATGACGCAATTTCGTGTTTATTCAGACGCACATTAAATATGTTGGTCTTCGATTTACTTCATGTACCTCTAAAATTACTGGAATTATCATGCCGGAGGTCAAACTAATGTCGACCACACTGAGTACATAAAACAGTTCGTGTTCTTGCCTATGGCATTTTTGAGGTTAGGAAGTACATATGAAAGCATTAGGGATAGATGCAGCATATTCCAATACACCTGTAGTAAACTGAAATTGTTACAAAACCTACGGCAAGTAACACAAATAAAAAAATTGAAGGAACAGTTCAATTTACGGACAACACAAAAGTAAAATACGATAATAATAGAGATTTTCGACTATCGAATACTTCTAAATTGTTTCAGATATAGCACTTGTATAAATATCGACAAACTACAGCTAAGCAAAATGGCGGTATGTTTCAAAACAAAAACTCCATTCTTTTGTTTTATTACGTAATTTCAGCCAATAAAAAAACCTGGATTAGTTGGTATTCTGCAAAACTGACGCAAAGGTAAACCAATTGTAAAACTCTTTCTGTAACCACAGTGAAAGAAATTCTAGAGTGATTTATACCATTACTCGGTTTCACTCTCGTTTATCGGCATCAATTATACAATTTCTCTGTGTAGATTTAACAGTACTGAAAATAAATATCGGATACATTTAAACATTTCACGAAGACTTCTTGACAATTTCTATCACATAAGTAAATATGAAGAATAAGCTATATTTCACACAAATAAAAACCTAATAGCGACAGTCACGTGACAGTAAATACACAACATAATGTACCTCGTTTATGAACGCAAATCCCTACGACGCATTATATATTAATTAGCAGATCATTTAAATGACGCTGTTCCGTCTAAAACCTAAAGCAGCTATAAAAACTATAATTTAACCTCTGATTTTCCATGAATGTGAAACTCTGCCACTCACGCTAACAAAAGAACTTACAGGATATTTGAGAATGAACTCCTAAGGGTAGCATGAGGATTTAAGAAAGAGAAAAATACATCTAGGGAGAGATTAGCTTCATGGTTCGTACACTTCACACAACATTATTCTCCTGCTTTGTATTCGGGAGGTCTAGGTTCAAAACTCGGCCACGGAGACCAGCTATAATAACTGATACATTTCTTGATTTTAGGCCACGACCATTTCCTTACAAATACTTACCAATTCATTCTTCGTTATTCACACTGTCCTTCAACGCCATTATAGGATGGGCATCCTTAAAAAAACAACATATAAACAGAAAATGGCTGTGTTCTGAGTCTCAACGCCGCATAGTCCAGTAGAAGTTTACCGACGTTTTAGAGGTCCTTGCCCTGATGATAGAGGCTACAAGATTTTTGAAGACAATTTTTTTTCTGCGACACACAACTTAAAGACCTCGGAAAGCGAGTACTGAAATCTCACGTTGCGGGTCTAGTGTAAAATTATCTAAAGACGACGTTTTCAAACAATAAGATGTTTGATTGCAGATTTCTGGCAAGAGACGAAAGGCGTCGACAAGTCTCAAAAAAACACCTGGCGGTTCACGCCAATGTGACGGGACGATCACAAATATTACTTTACGCAGAAAACTGAAAAGAAAAAAAAATATTCTGAAGCTACTTTTGGTGTTTGAGGAATGTAAGTTATTTCTGAAGTAGTATCACAAGAAACGAAAAGAAAATAAACATCAATAGACAGAAAGTTAAATATCAGAAATAAAACGTGTTGCCGGAGACACTGCGAGATTTTTTCAGTATTCATAAGAATCCTTAAATCCTGATAAAAATATTTCCATTCTTTAATAATCTAAGTTTCCATAGGTTAAAATCAGATTTATACACATCGCTTCATTTTCATAATTACCATCGCAAGATTTTTTATTGTCAGCCGACAAATGACATCGATCACGCTCGACGTAATAAAGGCGTAGACTAAACAAGCTTGTACTATAATGAAAATAATTGGTTCATATGACACTGTTGCATATCACTGTGAATAATGACGGCAAAAATCATGTCAAACGACCATAAGCCCGACGTAACAATTTATGTGTTCCTAGGCAATATATAAATTTCATGACAAATATCCAGAGTTAACATGTTTTAATTCCGACACTTGACCTTCGCACCACCACAGTAGGATATCAGGTTCTCATGGCGGTCGTAGCGCCGTGTAGACTATCGTCAGGGAGACAAGTCATCGCCCTGATGAACACCAAAAAAACAGACTGCATAAAAATACCTTTAATCCCTGCGAACTGTATCATATAAGTCAGTTCTTCTCTGACCAAATACCGGAATCTGTTGTCTCACGTCGTCGACAACTTTCAAGTCTGAAACAGAAACAACAGCAGAAATGTCATTAAAACAGATGACTGTGATATGATCACAAAATCTGAAGTTTTACAAAACGAAGACCAGTGTCGGCTGAACGAAATACATTGACCGCATATGAAACAGCATCTTCAAATTTGTATTTCTTCTCATAAATATTTTTGAAAAATTAATTTAATTTTAAAGACTGAATTCTGTTATGCACTGGCATCTCTGACATCTCACGTTGATGATTTTTGCAAACAAATATTAACCCAAGTTAATTTTGGAAAATATATTTTATTCCCAGCCCATTATTACTAAAGAAGTAACAACTGGAAAGCTGAATATCAGAGATCGTGTGTGTATTTATTTTATGACAATACATTAAACCTATAAGTAGTTAAAATTAAACATTCACGCAAATTTACAAATTTAAGCAAACAGTTCCAAATCTTTCCCCATCTGTATTATGCTTTTCAGCTAAAAGTAATTCTTATTAATTTTTTTTAAAATTCTGCTTAAAGAAAAATCCATTTTTCCAAACTTTGTTGAACGGAATACGCAATTTCCAAACTATACTCTTCAATTGTTGTTGTTGTTGTTGTTTCTTGGCTTTACAACCCGTTCGTGGGTTTTCACCGTATCCTTTTTCGGAGGTTTCTCGGTCTTTGAAGCGTACATTTATGAGTAGCGAGTGGCAAGCTCACTGCCTCTGCACAATTTCTACTCAATCCTGATTTGACTGCCAGAGCCATCTAGTAGTAAATCAGGAGAGACTTGGGTGAGAAATGGCCGCTGAATTTTGCTTACGAAACATCTTGTAAGGTTCTTTTACATTCTGTAAATCTACGACACGGAACCCCCGACTTTACTTCTCCGAAGGTAATCGTGCTATGGATTTTTATCACCCTTAAAAATTCATCGGCCTCAGCCGGGACTGAACCCACGAAACTTTGGTCCGGTGGCAAGTGCCCTACCCACTAGTCCACCGAGGGTGTTATATACCCTTCAATTACTTACCAATATCAGCATATACTATCGCCTCATCAAATTCTGTCTTTGCGATAACTTTTCCCCACGGATCGACCACTTGTGAATGCCCCCAAGACACATAATCAGCATTCTTATCTTGTGCAGGAGCCACAGACGCAACAAAAACCTGGTTGTCTACTGCTCTGGCCCGCTGTAGCAATTCCCAATGCAACGGACCTGTCGTCATGTTGAATGCTCCCGGATACAGCAGGAGATCACATCCTTAAAAACACAAGTAAAAAATTATTCAAACAATTACAACTTTTACCTCAAAATATTACACAGAACTTACTAAGAAGAAAATATCACTTCAGTGTCATATTTTAGCATAGTTATTATTTTAAATGAAAATAACAGACGAGGACGTTTCAGTGGCATGATGTCCATGTGGGTGTCAATATGTCTGCCACTCTGTAACAAATCTGAACTGGTAAATTTTCATATGCAGCCACTACAGGCAACCACAATTTCAAATCATACAAATCACAGAGGTGGAGGTTTTACTACATGCAACAGTTTTGTGAGACTCCAAAATTTGCAGCAAATGTATGAGGGTAGATCAGAAAATTTTAAATTGTTTAATTCCATTTTACTTCTCTTTTTTTTCTATCCTATCTTTGTTAAGAGATGAGCCGGGATAGCTCAGTCGGTATAGTGACTAGCTACGGACTGGACGACCGGGGTCGATCCCCGACAGGGCGGAGGATTTTTCCTCTAGCCTCTGTGTCCAGACCGGCTCCGAGACCCACCCATCCTCCTATCCAATGGGTACCGGGTCCTTCCCTGGGGGTAAAGCACGGCCGGGGCGTGATGCTGACCACTCACCCCCGTCTAGTGCCGAGGTCAAGAACGAGTAGGAGCTATACCTCCTCTCCCCCCAAACGCATACATGTCGTGTAGCAGGACTATTTTCCTTTAATTTACTTAGAAGTCACACCCATAAAAATAAGTTTACGGTTCACAAGAATTTTACACATAGGCACTTTTACCTTCCTTCCTATAAAGTCGAGCCATCTCATCGAATCTCAAGTCGTAACAAATTCCAATTCCAATTTTACAAATATCGGTGTTGAAGATCGTCAATTTTTTCCCAGCAGTCAAAGTCTCTGACTCTTTGAAACGGATACCACCAGGGATATCGATATCAAACAAATGAACCTGCAACAGTACATTGTTAACGTACGCATTCACTTCCAAAAATAAACATTTTTTTTTCACTTGTCCTAATAAAGTACAACACATTTGTAAACACTTTCTACCTGTGGTTAAAGCGACTATTTTAACTTCCAAAATAAACTGTGAATACAATCAATAAAATCTTCTCAGGCAATCGGCACCTGGTTACCGTATTTGCCCGAGAAGATTGTACTCGCCGCGAAAGTCTTGAATACTGCGAATACGATGCCTTCTATATTTTTAGCATAAAATTGTTGCTACACATTTCAACAAGTATTTCCTTGGAGCAGAGGCCTTATATACAAACTCCTAGTCCTTGCTACACGAAGACCGCAAATCTCATGAAACGACATTGTTCTACCATGACGAGAATCGCGCCATCGAACAAAGAATCGTAAGGACAAAATGACTGAGCTACTCTAATGCCTATATGGCATGTAGTGACGAGAATCACGCCATCGAACAGAGAAGCGTAAGGACAAAATGACTCAGCTACTCTAATGCCTATATGGCATGTAGTGGGACAGCTTTACGTCTAAAACTTACTTTTTGATGTTTGGTGACAAGTTCCCCTGATGGATTCCAGATGGTACAGGTGTTATACAACTTTTCACCATCTTTCTCGGGGATTGAGCCAGCAACAAGGTATACCTGGTTTTCCTCAGCTGCCTCAGACAAAGCAATGCTTGTTTGTCCTGATGGTATTTGCTCCGCATACTTTGGGAAAAATTCTGCAATGTTAATAATAATGTTATAATAATGATCAGCATTAACATAATTTGATTATTAAACAATTGTTAATATCATGTAACAAGTTAATAACATATCATATCCAAAAAAAATTAAGATTAAATAAAGGGATTATTATCAATTGGTAAGTTATTTACAGGAATTTAACACGTGGCACAAACAAAAAAGAAATTAAGTAGGTCTGTAAATAAATTAATTTTAAATTATTAACTAATTAACTCTATGGCATTACAACCTGAAAATTAGTGCCACTAAAACTACATCCTACCAATGGACCTTAACTTCAGCCAGTCGAGTCAAAACATTATTTTAAATATTATTTCCTTTCATACATATTAATATTATCCTTTCACCTCTGTCTCTTTCACTTCGTTAACCGGTCCCTTTTGAAGAGATTTCCCAACCAAAATTAAGTATTTGTTTATTGCTTCTCCTATCCAAGAGTCCAAACCCTAAAACATTAACTACGCTATATGGCCCACATTATAATATAAATCATGGTACTGTCACAAAACATGTAGATGTTGGTGTAGCATGCATGCATGCATACCAGCATCTTGTCACGCTACCCTTGTAGAACTTGAACATCCAGTTTTCCACATGGAAAACTATAAATAAACTGGAGATTTTCCCCTTCACAAATAATTTTACTAACTGTATTGATCATAGTATAGAAGCTGTAGCTGCAGTCAATACTAACTTGTTCCATATGGTGAATTAAAACACTCTGGTAGAGCAATCACGTGTGATCCATTCTCCTTAGCCCTCTTAATGAATCTTAAAGCTTCCTTAACATTTTCTAATTTATCTTCACCAACAGCAAGCTGGATCAGAGCAAGGCGGAATGCTAAAGAAAGAAAATAACAGATCACTTCACAATATAGGGACTTATAAGGGGCAGAAGTTAAACTTCAATACATCGTCAGCTGGCGTATTTATAGATGACAGCCTTCTTATATTTTGTTCGACAATTTCTGTATAATAATAAGCATGAATATGACACTTCTATTTCCAAAATAAACTGAAACAACTGCCTATAGAAAAGCCTATTGAACTGTGTTACAAACTTTGGTTGAGACAGTTACAGGAGAGATGATAAATGTGCACAAAATCTTAGTTGGAAAGCCTCAAAGGATGACAATACTTTTAAGACTTAGGCATAGGCAGGAAAACAGGGTTTGGGGGTTGTGGATTGGATTCATATGGGTCAGGATAGGGACCGATGGCAGGCTCTTGTGACCACAGTAAAAAGCCTCTAAATTTGATAAATATCAGGGAAATTTTTGACTAGCTGGGTGTACTACTACCTTCTCAACAGGGACTCTGTTCCATGAAATTAGTCAGTGATCAAAATGAAACAAAATCAGAACAGTTCATGTTATCATTAAAACATTGTTTTGATTATGTCATATCTATGCACTTTAACAATATAATGCTCAGGCCTCTACAACAAAATCAATCTGAGACGCTGAACAATGTAAAAGGACTTTCTATGTCTATGCAGTGTTCAGGATAGTCTACATATCAATTGTTATTCCATTTTACCAGTACCTTTGAAATGTGGAACTCTCCACAGTATGTACCACTACAGAGAATTATCAAGATTCTATATATCAGAATCCAATACAAAAGCAAGCACCAGTTATTAAACAATTTGTTCCGAAATGTGCAATCGCCAACTGCACCTCAATTTGCTCAGGCTACATTGATATACAATATACAAAGTGATTCATAAGTCTGCAAACTTCATATATACATTAATCAAGTAATTTTGGGAGAAAATTGTAAATGTTAAGAGGTATGAAATTTTTAAAGATAAAGATGTACCAGAAATAACAGGCTTTAGTAAAAAAAAATCATAATAACTTCACATCTGTGCATGGTTCATTGCTGTGACGTACACTGTAATATTCTGTATACTGGTGGCAACCTATTGTGAAATTTGTAATATGTTTCATTATTAAACACTACTTATTTAACATTGAGAAAAAAATTCTTCATTAAAAACCTTATTTCTGGTATGTCTTTACCTTACTTTCAAACTGTAATGACGTCTTAACCTTTAATTGGACCCATGTTCACTGTATTTTTCACAAAATCACTTCACTTAAAACATAGCAAGACATGTATGTATTTTACAAAGACAACTACTATATAGTCCAAATGGATGGTTCTGCATAAAGAACTGCTCGATTATGATAACATAATGAGTTATTGGACATTATAATACGTACTTCGTGAAGTCATCCTTTCCACCACAATTCTACACTTCTTATCAATTTGGCATGTATTCTTTCACTACGTTTATCTGTTTTACACATGACCCAAGGTTATCCAGAGCGAGAAAGAATGCAGCGAAGTCACTATGATACCACACTCTTCAAGCAAAACCTCTCACCTACTATTGGCACAGATGTTTCTGTTATTGCGTTCTTCATAAATGTCTTAAATTTTATGAAGAACAATAACAAAAACACTCGTCTGTAATGATCAGACATGAAACTTCTTATAGCGGAGTCTAGCTAATACACAAACCTCTCCAAAGGAAAACAATATTACCAAGCTCCACACCTATTAGATAATGCAAATCTCTTCTTTGTTTTTTTTTGTGCCTTAAGAATTCGAAGAAAGAACTCGAAAAAGCCAAAATTTAAACAACGCCACAATTGATTTGCATATAAAACCTATCACACTACACAGTAAACCGGCCGAAATTACAGGATCCTACTCATGTGCAGGAACTGTGTAAATACGTATAGAGGAGTCATCTGTGGACAAAGTAAAGAAACAGTTCCACTGATTTTCTCTGTGTCTATATAGTTTACTGACATTTACAGATAACTTGCTTTTACTCATACAATGATCACTGATGAAATATGACAGAAATGAATACAGTGTTTTCCATATGCATCACTATATATGAATACTTTCACGAAAGTCCATTTGATTGGTTAAGGCACGTTTGTCATCCCAAGGTTAATTTTTGTTACGAACAAATTCGGTTTTAAATAGTACACAAAGATATTACATTTGTGTTTGGTGTCAGATTTTCTATATTTATTAGGAAACATATTTTATTAACAAGTCTACTCTGAAGTTTATTGAATGCAAGATGTTATGACAAAGTAACTGTATGAGGATACTTTGTTCTTATCATGCCAGAAACAGTTTCTAAAAGTCCATGAAATCCTCACCAAGGCTAACAAATACAATGTAGGTAATACATGGATAAATACTAAACACAAATTTAAATTTCGAATGTTTTAATTTACCCAACATCTCAGCAAACAATGCAGTTGCTGTCATAAAGATGAATATTCAACTATTCACGTTCGAAGTGGGTCTTCCCTTAATGCCGGTTTCGCAACAAACTCAAAAAATGGAAACACACGACCAGGTGGACTGCGTATAAGATGCAATATAGTAATATTAGTATACTGAACTTGAAAACTATTTGCTACTTACTGTTCTTATGGACTCCCACAGGAACTTCTGGAATAGTACAATCTGCAACATGCTTTCACAATTAAACTATTATGGACATTATTTAACCGTTATGGAAAGAATACCTATCATGTGAAAAATTATGTAGTGTTATGGATGGAGATGTTCAACAATTTAGAGTGTTGTAATATACATCTTTAACAAAGTTACATTGCCCCTAAACATTTAGGGTATGGAACTATCATAAGTTCCAGGACTGAATGTTGTTTAAATACTACATAGGTCAAATAAAGTCTATTTCAGTCATGTTAGAGATCAGAGATCATACCATTTTATTGTTTTCTCAGACTATGCTGCTGTTCAAGAATGGGTGATCAAAGAATGAACAAGTTTCTCTTGCAGCTGGAACGAAAAAAGACATTAAGGTTTACAATACCAAAGGGCATGGTAATATATTCATACATTTCAAGATGCCTGATTGGGTTGCA